AACTACGTTTTGCACCAAGTTTCAGGCTGATCATTGGTAAAGCAACGTTCAGTAGTAGCTGACGACAATTCTGCTCCACCTCGCTTATCGTGAAGAATTTCCGTTTGCTCCTTTACAAACTCGTCACTCCTACCCTGGGAAACATCAGTCTGAACAGCAACACTAACCACTTGCTCAACCTTCTTCCACTCCTTACACCATTTGCAACCATCGTTACAAGGTCTTCGTGACATGGCGTCAGCATTTTGATGTCGTTGGCCTTCTCGATACTCAATCTCATATGTAAACACACTGAGGAACTCTATCCATCTTGCCAACTGTCCCTCTGGTTCCTTGACTTTAAGCACTGAGCGAAGGGGGGCGTGGTCAGTCCTTATGCGAAACTTCGGCCCCTGCAAATAGTGACGAAACTGCTTCACAAACTCCACAACAGCAAGCAGCTCTTTCCGCGTAACGCAGTAGTTTCTCTCGGCCTTGGTCAACGTTCTGCTCGCATAAGCAACTGGATGCTCCACCCCATTCTTTAACTGACTCAAGACGGCTCCAATACCATGGTTGCTGGCATCAGTGTCAAGTATGAACTCCGCAGTGAAATCTGGGTATGACAAGACAGGAGCTGTGGCCAACAAGGTCTTCAAGGTATCAAACGACACCTGGCACTCGGATGTCCAAGTAAAGTCAACATTTACTTCAGTCAGTTTGTGAAGAGGCCTGGCTACCAGGGCAAAATTTGGAACAAAACGTCGATAGTAACTGGCAAGTCCTAGAAAGCTCTTTACTTCAGTTGCATTCTCAGGTACTGGCCACTCATGAACTCGTTTAACCTTCGCAGGGTCAGTCTCGATGCCCTTCTCAGATACAATATGGCCAAGATATGCGACGCGTTTCTGGAACAGCAGACATTTGCTTGGTTTCAACTTAAGTCCAGCTGATGCAAAGCGAACGAACACTTCCTCTAAACGCTCCAGTTCCTCTTGAAAAGTTCTCCCATACACAATTGTATCATCAAGGTAGATAAGGCAGGTCTCAAACCTTAGCCCTGCTAAGATCAGTTCCATTAATCTTTCAAAGGTACTTGGTGATGAAGTGAGACCGAAAGGCATAACATTCCACTCGTAGAGACCAGAAATGGTTACGAAGGCTGCTTTACCACTGCTAGCTGGGTCCATAGGGACTTGCCAATACCCCGAGGGGGGTGGTAACGAAAGTAACACATTTCGTTCTAACAAGGAGGTACACGGTTTCGGCTTTCGCTACAATATACACTGTCTTATTAGGGCTTAAATTGATAACTTGATAAATTGAAAACCAATTGTGTTCAAGAACTTTCATAATTATGCAGTTTCACTTAGATCAGGGCTTGACACTAACTTTTCAACTTACTAGCCAAGTGGTTAGTGACAACTGAGATGACACTACAATATTTCAGTTTGTTTACTAGCTGAACTAGCTTGTGGAAATTGAAAACCACTAACCAAAACAGAATTTCTACAAGTCTGTGGCTAGTTGGCTATCATTAGTGTCAAGCCCTGTACATAAAAAACTATTAAGACTATAGCATTACTCACAACAACTCTTTAAATATTGTCTATGAATTAGTATAACTCACTCATTAATTTCAGGGCCATTGCTTGAGCTATTTTACCTCACATGTTGCAAACTCATGAAATGGTTATCATACAAACTCCTTCTACATTGATAATAGGCCATTTTACAGTTGTGTACTTAGTTGCGAAGCCTTTGATTTGGAATGAGGCTGAAGGTTACCTTGTTGTGATAGAGACCTGTATCTAGTTAGGATGATCACAAAGTTATTTACATTTGAAAAGCAGCAACTTTTGTATCATAACAAGGTCACCCTCAGCCTTGCTCTTGTTCAAAGGGTTGGCAACCAAGCACACAACTGTAAAATGGACTATTTATCACTGACGAAAAAGAAACAGAGTCAATGGAAAAAAAACCAGCTCAAGAATTACACTTTTTTCATCCTTATAACTTTACATCAAAGAAAAGTGAACTCATTTTGTAAAGTCTAGTGATGATGACATTAAAAAGACGATCTTGAATGCTGCTCTGGAAAGTGCAAAAAAACCCAAAAAAATTTGTGTCAGTGCGCAATATGAAACTTAACGGGAGGGTTATAACATAAATAAACCCCCTTTTGGCTTACTGGTATGGAGGCTGATAATATCCTTGGCTGAGAGATCGTCCTCAACAATAATGTCATGATTTCCCTCAGAGCTTCACTTCTTGGCCAAATGTTCATTACTCAGACAATCTCTCAGCCAGGGACATTATTAGCTGTCATAGTAGCCACCCGAAGTAGAAAGTAAAGTCTGTATTTAAGCCAAGTGGCCCATCCAGGTGGTGCTTAACTCCTGTTTTCATGGCATGAAGTGACTAGGAGAATGCTTGTCCATGGTAGGGTTACTCCCCTNTTTTAAGCTGTTTGGGTCTTTTTCTTTTGTAGTCACAACATAATGTCTTTCTGTTATACAAGATGGGAGTTATGCCTCTTCTTGTTCAGCTTCTGTACGTGGAAATTGAGTGAGTCTTTTTCTTATCATTGAGTTTTACAGGGGTTATTACGCACACAATTTGTGCAATGTAAAAGGATTTTCTGTTCAGAAGCTTAAAAAAACTTTTAGAGGCTTTTGACTCAAAGCTAAATACTTCTGTCTTAAATAGAAATTGAACCAAAGAATGCTTTTCCATGTGAATATAAAAGCTATATCCATTGAAAACCATACTTTAATTCCATTATCTGATATGTACCTAGACGTGGAGTTAATCCTTAGATGAAGTACTGTTCTGAAGCATTATTTTGAAGCATTTTTGTCATTCCACAATTTTTACTGGGAGAATGGGGATGGCCCAGTGGTGAGAGCACTCGTCTCCCCCTGCTGTGGCCTGGGTTTGATTCCCAGACCTAGTCTCATATCTGGGTTCTGCTTATTCTTGATTAATGTCTTTGCTCCCAGGATTTTTCTTTGGGTCTTGCAGTTTTCCCCCCTCCATCTAAAAAAAAAGCCCTCCAAATTCTAATTCAACCTGGAAACAGTGGACAAGGAGAGTCAACTCCTGGAATGTCCACTGCTAAATTCCATTATTATTCCTATTACTAAGAACTACACTGTTTTGTTACAGGAATACCGATGCTGCAACATCAGCATTACAGAAACCTTCAGTGTCTATAGCAGATAGCATAACACTAAGGTAAATTAACAATGAATGAGTTTTTTTAATGCACTGATAATTGGTTGGTGTTTTCTTTCAACCGTGTGGTGTAAACGTTTGGGTCTAGGATTACTGTATTTGAAAGTATTACGTATCCTTGGACACCACTTCACTGGTGAGGTTCATGCAGCATTTCATTTCAAACTGCAGAAATTCACAAAGCCATACTTAGGAATAAACCCTGAACTCTAAAATCTTAGATTGGAGACAGACTGGTACACAGCTCCCATAGTGATCAAGACAGAATTTCTCCTTACAATATCAATACAATATCAAGCAGACAAGTGATGAGAATAAAGATAAATATCAATTTGATGATTATTAGTTGATCTGATACCAAATTCTCCAAACTAACATTGTAAGAATTATATGGCAAACAGTTGGGAGAATTTCTATAATTGAGGTCTTCGGAGTGAGAGGGTCAGGTGAATTGTTTTGGCATTTATCCAAATGATTCACCAGTGACTGTGAATTTACATTTATGTTTTTCTTCTTCTTTGTGAAAAAGGGTGTATCTCAACATCATCTACACCATTGTGGAGGTGATGCGCTGTGCAGATCCTAGTGAATCAGATGACATAGCTCAAGCACAGAATGCATTTTTCAATGAACTGAGTAAGTACAGCCTTCTCTGACCTCAACCCCTCTCTTTTGGCTCCTCTATCACTACGGAACAGTTAGCAAGTTGATGTGCTTTTATCAACTGAATTGATAAATGTAAATTGGCCATCAGCGCATTCTCTCTGATAAAGGGCCAACGCTGGAAACGTCAGCTTTAGAGACACTCTACGATAACCAACTTACATCATTAACTTAGTTGATAAAACTTTATTTAGTTCTTATTAACCGAGCGGGAGGTCTGTATGGGAGAATCTTGACCGAGGTCTGTACCAGTGACCAAGGTCAAGATTCTCCTAAACAGACGGACCTAGCTCGGTTAATAAGATGTTTATTATTATATGGCTGTGTCTTATATGCCAATTTTTTATATTCTTTGTACCTTTTTTTTCTAGACCGGTCTAGATGTCGGTTTAGATGGGAAAATCTAGACTGCTTTCAATCTTGATTTCAGCCAATGAAATTCGTGAATTTGGTAGTTCCCAGTCCTTGTCAGACACAGCCATATAATAATATCTTGTAATAACCACCACTGACACAGCACTACTAACAGTTTCTCCTCAAAACTTGCCCTCTTTATTCGAGTTAACAAGCTAATTGAAGAATGTCATTAGAAGGTGGACAAAAATTAATGTGCATCCTTGGAAATTTTTCACATTGTGATGCAATCCCTGTAAGTGGCATTTGTCACTCACTGTTTAATTACTTTTCTCTTTCTTTTTCCTTTTTTTTTTTTTTTTTTTTTTTTTTTTTTTTTTACAAGGTGAACCTTTGGGTGGCGATGAACTCCTTCCTATTCTTTTACTGGAAATGATTTTGAAGTACTGCGCGGGTAGCTGCCCTCATTTTCCAATCAAGAAAATTCTTCTCCTTTTGTGGAAAACTATTCTGGTGAGTTGTTTTGTTTGAACTGGTGTAGCCTGCGAGCAGGTGGTAAGCGGTGAAGTCGCCCGAAAGTTATCTTGCCTGAAGTCATGTTGCCCGAAACCGGAGTCGTGTCGCACGAAACATTTTTAGTCATGTCGCCCGAATTCCTGAGTCATGTAGCCAGAAGACATTATTAGCGCTTCGGTATAAGGGTCCCTGGGGTATGAGGCTTTGAGTAACGAAAGTTGGCAAGGGATCTAGTGTCCAGATCCCTGGCAAACCTCTCTCTGACTCGTGTCAAATCTTCTCGCTGGTGGAGAAGTACGCGTTCTTCCAATGAGGACGTGGCATTGAAGACCTTTTCGCACGCTAAATCTGTTGCTGCCAAGAGACTTCACGATGTAGCTTAACTGAAATGTAATCAAACTTTGTCTTGGAACATTTGGCGGTTGATAACATGCTACATGTCCAAGCAGGCCTGATGTCCAAAAATTAAAAATGTTGCTGTTAAACTGTACTCCTACAGTATCACCCCGGAATCAAACATTAACCTCTAGAAGCTCTTGTTTGAGTTACAAATTCTCCTAGAAAGTACCTTAGGAATCGTATAGAGAAGAGTACGGAGAACTTGCAAACTGATGTTAGGGTATAAACGGTTAGAAAAACTCTTACCACTATTCAATTGGTAATAGGTAACTTTATTTATACACGGTGTTTCCATCATGTACATTAACATTAAAGTAGAGAAAACTAACTACCTAACCAAACTAGAATCTAAATTAAGAAAAACTAAAATAATAAAGACGAAAATAAAACACCACTTTTCAAGGAGGCCGTGTGTAAAGATAACATATCGCTGATCAAATCATCTCACTGAATCTAAATTTAGGTCCCTTAATTTTCCCTTAAATACATCAGGGGATGTCAATTGCCGCTCGAGTCTCACTTTCTTCTGATGGGCCGTTGTGATTCCTTTTTAGTTTGGTTTTATGACGGTCATTCAAAACGCGTTCTGTCTCCTTACTTCCGTAGATTTCATTGGGTGGATTAGAAGACCTAGCGAAGAAGAAAGAAGTTTTCAGAGTTGCTAGGGGCTTACCTGCCAGCTACGAGGTCCAGTGCCCTCCACAACAACCCACTGTTAAGGAGAGGACACCCGCTCCCCACACCCCACCCCAGTCGGGAACTGATAGTGACAGTAATGGAGAGATTGTGTGGGACAGGAGTGAAGAGGAACCGTCATACAAGCCACCAAAGCTGCGACCGAAAGTCAGGTAGAGCGCTCTGTAAAATGTAGCTAAATGTAATTAAGGCAAGGTTAAAATCAAGTTAATGCAGCGGATTTAGCAAAAGGGGGCTCTTGGGAAGTTTACAGGGGCTTTTCCATGTGGTTGTTCGGTTTTCTTAGCATTTTTTCCCTCTCCTCTCCCTCCCACCAACCCAGAATTTTCGTTCTGATCTTGTTTACTCGCTAGCTCCGAGAAACATGTCGTAACAGAACATGTGTAGGTTCTTCATTGTACCTCGTTGAGCAGGCTTGTCAGCACCTTTCGGTAATGGGTGACCTTTCGTCAGGTGATGTTTTGGAGTGGGTTCGATTAATAAAGCAGATTAGCAGAAGTTTCATATTGTTTGTGAAACTTGAGAGGGAAGACCACCCTAAAATAACGTTGTACGCCCGCAAAATTCCAAAGATCATTTCTACGAGTTGTAGATGTTTTGTTGTGGGTTTGATGAAAGCGCCCTTTGATAACTAATATTTTAAACTTTTAGTAAAATAGGAATCCGTGTTTTTCTTTTGTAGGCAGAAAGATGTGGAAGTTTTCTTGGATAATACAAGGAACAAGTTTGTTGGCTTCCAACTGCGAGGGTCAGTGGAGAAATTAATATTTTTAGACCTCCTGGTAGTGGTTTCATATATCTTGTTGTCTTTTTCTTTGTTTGTTTTTTTTTCCGAGCGCTTTTCGATCGAGTTTTTTTTTTAAAGAAATCGAGTGTAATTTAATGAACTCAACGGCCAATTAAAAACGAACAGAAACATCACAAGAAGCCAATAGAAACGAAGGTAACACACTTAGCTTCGCGGGGAGACGCTAATCTATAATCTCGTTCCCAGGGCGCTTTTTCCACCGGTTCCCTCTTTGCAAGAGAGGTTAGCTTACAGAGCAGGCATCTTTAGGCGAGTTAACTTTACAAACTTGCGATCGTTTGTTCGACTAACCCTGCTTGATATAGGGTAAGAATGGGTGGCAGGATCAACCCACCCGTTTCCCCCCCTCCTTTTTTTTGACCGCCGCTCACCCCCTTGGTACAAATTTACTTCTCTCCCCAGTCTTCAGCTGCTGTAAAATTCCAAGATGGCAGCGAAATTTTCACCAAGAAAATACTGAGCATAAGCTCTCCAAAATTACGCCTGTTCTGCTGGCTGAATTGAATCGAGTTCTCTATCCTGGCTTGCTTTCGATTCTCAGCCGAAAATTTCTCTTGTGATAACAGCACTTGCTCACGTGTATGTCGTGCGCAAATCCACCGTAATTTTATATTGTTTGTGAAACTTGAGAAGGAAGACCACCCTAAAATAACGTTGTACCTTCGCAGATTCCAAAGATCATTTCGACAAGTTTTTATGCGTGTGGGATAGTACTCTTGGAGGTTTTAAACACCTTATAAACTCGGGCTGTTCAAAATGCCCTCAAAACCTAAACTTCTTTACCTGACATCCCTTTTACGATGTCACGCAGAGCTCTTTTGTGAAGGGAGGAGTGGGACGGGAAGCATTTCGTGATATCTTAAAAACGGCTGTGAAGGGGACTCAAAGTCACAGTCGCTCTGAAGGAAGTTGGCTTGAATTAATTTAACGTATTTTGTTGGATTTTATTTCTATTTCATTTCGAATGAATTTTCCAGACGAATATTACCACAGCTAGATTGACTAAAAGTAACGCAATAAGTTGGCCTGGATCCAATGACCACAACACTTTTCAACCACTATGACACGGAATGCATTTTAGACATTCCCAACAGAGAATACGCAAAAAACGGAAGGTCTATTCAATTTTGTTCTTCCTCTGTAATTTATTTTATTTTATTAGCTCTGCCAATAATACATATGGATAGATTACAATAACAATAACGGGCATCCAACCACAATAGCGATAGCCAATTACTGTGGTCCCGCAGATTTGGAAATGAAAAATACTTAAGTCTTTCGTATCATCAAATTTAAAGTCACCCTCCCATCCAGATAAACGTGAGAGGGCCCCACAAAATCCAGTCGATAGGTGAAGAGAAAAGACAATCTAATCAGTCAGAGGGCGTTTTCTTGATACAATGTCAAATTCTCCATACTAATCTATGCGAAAATATTTGCATCAATATGGGAGAGTTTGGAATCAAATCGTAAGAATTAAAGGTGTTAATTCGGTGGTTTCGAGAATCCTCCAGACAACTATTTTTCCGCCCCCGTTTGTTGCGAATTTCCAGATATATTTATTCGAAAAAATATTTACTCCCTTCTGTTGGCGTTTTCTTCAGATGTCACCTGGTGTTTCGACAACTTTCTCGGCGGTCAAGTTTAACATCGAAGGAGGCTCAAGTGTTTTTTACAACTCCATTTATTTATCCAATCTCTTGACAATATTATTTAGTGTACCGGTTAATAACATTTCGGACCGCACGCACTCCAAGTCAGTAGATGCGTTGCGTCTGAAACGTAAGGCATTAAATTTAATGCGATAGCTAAATGCCCGGCAGCGGGGCACGGTCTCAAATAGGAATGTGATGGTAAAGCTCCTTAAATGTAACTCTACCCTTTACAATTAAGTCCCAAATGACAGCTTTATTTCTATAGTTTTTTTTGATAGGTCTATCAAAAATGCAGCTCGTGTTTTGATCAAAGAAACTTGCTTCTCTTTACACTTCGCTCATGGTTCTTCAGTAAGATTGCTCCGATTTTGCCCTATCAACAATAAGAACGTAAACGATAAGAAATCTTCTGTCACTAAATTTTTACTTCTATCACTTCACATATTGTGGGTTATTAAGCGGTCGGCAATAATGTTTGTTCCTCAGCAAGAACGTGAAGCAAAAACAAGCATTTCCGGAGAAAAAAACTCGCTCACATCTTGCGGACAAAATGTTTTTAATCTCTGAATTCGGAGAAAATTTCAGGATAAGTTCAATTCATCTCTGCACGAGTATTGGTGTTTTAGTAAGAGGGACATGCGAGAGAAAGACCTAGAACATTGCGAACAACTGTATTTTTTCACCGCGGAGTGTGTCTGAAGGTGTGCACGCAAATTCGATCGATCAGCAAATGCACGATCGCAGCTCGGACACTTGTAGGGTTTCTCTCCCGTGTGCGTGCGGATGTGACCCTGTAGCAACCACGGACGGCTGAAAGCTTTTCCACAGATCGTGCATTTACACGGAAGCGTGTGCGTGCGAATGTGCATTTTCAGCGCTCCCAGCGAGACGTAGGTCTTTTCACAGTACTTGCATGCGAACTCTTTACGGGGATGTTGGTGTTTTCGCAGCGCAGTCAGAGTGTTGAAACTTCTTTCACAGTCTTGGCAGCGGTGTTTCTTGATCGTACGGCTTTTCTCGCGAGAAATACTCCTGTCATTTTGCGGCGATTCTGCGCTCACCAAAGCTGCCGGTGCCTCTTCGTATTTCGGTGATGATTGCGTTGTAAATACGTGACCATCGAACACATGGTAAGCTGTAACTTCGGCAGGATAAAAGTAAGATGTCTTGAAATCGATCCATGGCTGTATTCGTGCGTTTTCGAGAACAGATCTTGTAATAAATGAAGAATCTGGAAGCGCTTCTTGTTCGAGGTCAAGTTGACGACCTGTTGGTTACGAAACGAGAGCATGCAATTTAAGCATGTGGTATGAGGAATACGCAATACCCGAGAAATACTATTTTCCGCTTGTTTTACTTTCACAAGTCATATTAAGAGATGAGCAAATCATTTGAGAAGAGATTTAAAAATTTTGGGGGACAAATAGTAAGATATTTCAGAGGCGAAGTTGGAGATTCAGCGAGCAGGGATTTGTTGGCAACGATACACTTGTTACCCTTGGGACAACCGACAAGTGCACGGAAAAAATATTACGGCTCACCTTTCGGTTTTGAATCATGTATTGCATTCCTGGTCGCTTTCTCAGGCTTCTTCTTGACGAGAAATGATCGTGGCATTTTGAGGTTGTTTTGTGGCAGTTTTTTTGCAACGAGAATCGCGCAAACCACGCTTCAGCCCTAGAATAAACCACAATCGTGCAACACCTTGATCGATCGACTGCCCTGCACCGGTGTACCAGAGAATTATATCGGTCAATGACGTCACTTAATAATCAGCGTTTCATCTGTTCAATTGTGTTTACTATTCGTACGCGCTTCCAGGCAAGCTGTCACCAAATAAATATACAGAACCAAGCTGCGTGTTTTTCAAAGTGCAGCTGAACGACCCATTCTCATTGATTGCGCGATTCGGGAGTAAATTGCTGCGGCCTGCAGAAATTTTCCATGATCAATGCACAGCGTGTACCAAGATTAACTACAGGAAGTTTTCTCTCGACGCTCTGGGTATTCGAGGTTTTAGTCTAAAGTGGACTTTGATGTACCGAGCGGTTCTCGATATCAACAGGTGTGGAATCACATGCACTGTTCTCCAGATGAAAAATTACAGTTTTGTTTTTGTGTTAGATATTGTTGAAGCGACGACAGCGCAAAGCTATAGGTGATAGAAAGTATTTAATTTTTGTTCGCGCAGATTGGTGTCATTTGCATGAAGAAAAAAACAAAAAAAACAAATGTTAAAACAGTGTTTTATCTCTCAGTTATTAGGCCCGTGGCCAGGCATACTGCAAAGTGTTTTCGTAAATTAACTTTTAATTAATCTGTGCGGTTTTTGCCATGACGCGAGCTTTCATTCTTTTCAAGAGGCTAGTTCAGGAGGTAATAATGAAAACAATGGTGTGGTCTGCACGTGACAAAAAAAAAAAAAAAAAGGTCAAAGAACAAGCGCCTCCATTGTGGTGAACTTGAAGAAAGACTCCTTTTAATGGCGCAAGACGTCGGGAAATCAAATGCTACCACGTCTTCTTGGCTCAAGTGTTTGTCGATCATTAAGATATGCAATCCGATTTAGTATCACCAGTTATCAATAGGCTATTCTTATCGCTGGCTATTAAACCATTATCGTGATTATAACCTTGAAATCAAGTCTTTGGAAAACAACTTCTGTTACTGCACTCTCCTTACAGCGGGCCCTTGCGGCGTCCACGACAGCGAGAGCCTATAAGAGCGGTTGGTGATAAAATGATCCAGTTTTTGGTTTTAAAGTAAAACGCACAGTATAAACTGCTTCCTGCTGCACGATAACCAGTTCATTTAATTCGCACTACACATTTACTTTAATGGATAATCGTGTCTTACAGGTCAAACGTGAACATTCCGAGACAGCACAAAGCATGAATTTGTTATTCAATGCATCCAAGGTGTCCGTTGTAACGAAAGATGAGGAATAGATGTTGTATTTTGGAGACTAACTGATGTTCCTGTAATTTGGTAATAGCGGGAATTGTTTCTTTAAATTTCACTGTAGTTATGGCTGGGGATTTAGCGGTGATTCGCATGAAAAGTTAGCGGAAAATATCGGTAGCGCCATAGGATGACCTTTTCTGAGCCATATCGCTATATATAATTCTTGGCAAAAATAGTTAAGGGATTCAAAAGTAAAATATAGTGGAGAAAACTCTTTTCAAGTTTTTGGTGGAGTTGTTAATTAAAAAAACAGACATGATAGGGGATAGGTGCTAAGACAAGTTGAAGAGTAGTATCTGCATCCTTCTGCTCTAATGCAGCATCGGTTTTTACTCTGCAGATTAACAGACTTCTGTGCAAAGTTCAACCATATGTTATCGTGGGGCTCTTCTGCGTACGGCCTCACCCTACCCTCCTCGGGAAGTCTTTGTTTTATAGGGTATGGGGCGGCTGTACACAGGCCAGGGTTCGTCCTCTTCATGAATTTAGCATAGGAGATCCTTCGAGCAGCAAGCTTCCGATTGTATGAGTTTCACGCATTCTTTGACCCTCAATGGGGTTATCTGAGAGCTATAAAATAGCCAAAAAATTTTAACTGTTAGGCGTAAGAATTGACAAATTTAAACCGGTAGTCGTTAAAAAACAAAAAACATTTCTGATGACAATAATGGAATGACATTAATTGTTAGCCGCAAAATGGCCAAAATTTTAACCACCATCGTCTTACTTTTCTACTCGTTGTTAAGAAAAACAGACAGTTGAAAAAAACAAGGCAAGCTGGCATGTCTCCAGATCCCAGTGAGAAATATTTGAAGGACCCCTACCTCATGAAAAATTCTACATCTCTCCCCCCCCCCCTACCTCATGAAAAATTCTACCTGTACCTTTGTGGCGTGATAGAAGCTTAAGTGTAGCTGTACCCCTCCCCCCCCCCCCCGAGGAGAAACGTTTCTCCTCGGATGGAGGGTACGGTTACATGTAGGCTTGCCTGGTAGTTAGTTACTCATGCTAAAAACTGGTTTCCTCTTGCTACGTCATGATACGTCTCCAAATAATGATTAACATCCAGTTTCTCCTGGCAGTTTCACCCTTGAATTAAACATATAGGTTATCAGAATAAAGGAAATGATCGCCAGCTTAGGAAGTACTTGATTTTTAGATCGAATTTTTTAACCAAAAAAAATGTATAGAATACAGTATGGAAAAAATATCCATCCTCGTATGTATCAGAGTTTAAGGACAAATAGCTCTGAAGGTCAACAATAAAAGTATCATGAACGAAAAACAAATAAATCGGTTTTTAGCTGAGATCACTGATTTGAAAATCATATTAGATTTTCAAATATGGCTTTATGCCTTTGAAAATTGTTTTGTCCAAGAGTTGAGAGCTCGAGCATTTGATGCTTTCTCATGCAGATCGTATCTGCCGATATCTTTCAAACAAGTGAGGATTTACTTGTCGACAACTACTTAAAGGGGAAGTACTATACATATCATTATCAGAGCGGATAATGTCAAGCTTTACGTAATAGGCGCGGCTCCTGAAAGGCAGAAGTTTCCTGCAAACGTTTCCGTACTTTTGTTGCCTCCAGTGAGTGTCAATTTACGAGAGAGTAACCAAAAACGCTATGTTTGCTTTGAGTTCAATATTTAGTTTTCCTTAGATATAAATCAGTTCCGCTGGTACGTTTATATGTTATATTTAACTTAATTTCTTTTAACGATTATGAATCCCTGTGGAAAAACTAATCAAAGTATTTAAACTTCTTAGGGACACAGTGGGAAGGTTAATTTCAAATTTTTAATCTGTTTAAATTTTTATTCTCATCCAATCTTTAGGCTAGGCAAATGATATCTTAATATAATAATGTCATTTATCAGAGAGTTTTAGCTACAGCTTACACTTCCTCGACTGATGAGAACATAAGTTTTGAATACACTTTAAAAGCATGTTGGTCATGGAATGCCTTAGCGTCAAATCGACGTCGTGAAGTTTCCGTGCCAGCGAAAATAATTACGGGTTTTGTGGCCACCACGTTTGCCGTAACACTTCAGTTATCACAATGAGTGTGCTATAACTCTTAACCTTTTACAATTACAGCACAATCTCAAGCGAACAAGTGATTGTTACAAACGCAACTCTCGTAGCTTGTTTGCGAGGAGAATTGCTTATCAGGACTTAGAAGTGAAATTAAATGGTCATGGTCAATTAATGATGTGTTGCAACACCAATGATGCTATTAAATGGTGTAATAGATTTATTATAATTATATCAGAGATAAACATCTTTGCTGATCTGCAATGGTGTGGCGACATTGAAATGACCTTAAAGTTTTTCAGTCGTTTAAAGAGGATTTCATTTTAATTCTTTCTCAATTGCAATCGCTTTTACAACATGATTTACATTTTGTTGCAACACTTTCTTCGTTAAATCGTTGCTTATTTAACTGCAAAATTATAACTTTGGCCAGCTTCCAGATCTTTTCGGATTTACGCAAGGGGATTCTTTGTTGTTCAATGGATACAATGCAATTACTTTTCTGGCAATAGACTAATTCCTTATCACGATCAAAACAGATTATCAAAGGTCTCGTATTTTCTCAACCCTAATCCAATAAGAAAATTCAAGGTCTATGAGCCACTAAAGCTTATTGTTTGTTGACCGCGAGTCTCCCACGATCAAATGAGAGAAGATTAATGTTTTCAGTATAAGTCGATAAGCAATTTAATTCAGTTCTTAATTTTCAAATCCTTCCTTCCTTTTCTAGATTTGAAATAATCACATTTTTAGTATGTCACTCCGATGGACACACACTGAATGAGCTCTCTAATCGTACTACATGTGCCTAGGGAAAACAGGAAGTTTAACTGTCAAGACACGATTCATGATTTTTCGTTCTAGCCGTTAATTATTTCCTCGTCAAGAAGTTAAGAGATTGAGACGTTGTGTCGAGATAACTCCAGCTGGTTGAGAAGTTTATCAACTCATATCCTTTCGCTGATAGTGTTGTAAGGTAGTAAATGGTTTGAACCCGGGGGGTTTCATGTGAAAGCCGGTCTAGTGCGATCATCCGGATGAGTGTGGTCCTGAGATGGACTGTTGTCGGTGATGGTGACTAACGTTTCGACAACCTGTGCGGAAGTCATCATCAGAGTCAAGTGAATTGTTGTTGTTAGTAGAGTGTTTTTAGTCCTGTTTGTGAAGAATGATTGATCAATTTTGCCGTGCTGGTATTGGCTGTAAGAGTCGAGTGGTGTAAGTCGATCGTGATTGGTCTGTTTCGATCCGTCGGTAAAGTTGGGTCGTTCGATTGTAATGTTAATGTCGTGAATGAGTCGTTTGTATGGTGCTGGTAGTAGTTGACACCTGTTTCTGGGAGTCTGTTCTAAATTAGTGAACCAGCTTTCCAGAGTCAGTCGTTGATAGTAGTTAGTGCTGTATGTTATTGTCATTGTGCCGAGTCCCAGTCAATAGTGTGGTTCGTAAATCGATGATGTTCAGCATTGATAGTTGACATCATCTTTCCTTGACACCCGTTTGTGTTCAGTCAGTCTTGTTGCGAGCTTTCTGCCAGAAGAATATGCTACCTTTCTATAACATCAAGAAATCGTTAGATTTTCTAGTCTTCTCGGACAGGGACAAACAAATGGAGGTCCCGTCTCCTACAGGGTTAGGGGTAGGAATGGTTAGATATTCTAGTCTTCTCGGACAGGGACAAACAAATGGAGGTCCCGTCTCCTACAGGGTTAGGGGTAGGAGATGTTAATTTCCCACACACAAGATTACTGTGTGATGGATGTCCTCCCCTGGGGTGGGATGGGTGGGATTTATTGGGTGGACTACTCGCATGGTTCGCATATGTTCCGTTCTAGTCCTACCCTACTGCGGTAATGCAGTAAAAATGGTTAGAAAGAAAGAAAGCCTCTCCAATGTAGGAAGCTTAGCGAGTCGGAGCAATTGATCTTATAAATCGCTCCCTGCCTGTTTGTCGGTTCGCCCTTGTTAAAGGCAAGAACGAACCGAACGACGTTAAAGGCGTTTTATTACCCGAGCTCGAAATTTATCATCTGTCCTATTCTGTTTACTTCTTTAAGTCTCTGGAAAATATCAGTTTTCATCGCTAATCTCTCTTTTTCTCCACAGTGACTATCAGACGATTGCAGGGCTTCCCGGCCCAATACATGAGGGACTTTCAATTCTGAAGAAGGTGAAGCTTTATCTCGCTTAGATTTAATTTGTCTTTTTTTACCTGCTCACTTAGCGACAAGTCGCTTGGACGTGACGTTGGGAAAGCGCCAATTCACTTAGTGCCTGCTGGGAGTAATCGTAGAAAATTTCCATGAAAATTTTTGACTTGCGCAGAATTTTTCCCTTCAACAAAGCAGTCTGTCCCCACCAATCAGTTCCGATTGAAGAAGCCATGGAAACACAGCGGTCAAACATCGGTCTCGCGCAAGAGGATCAATTTTGGTTGGCCGCGCGCCAATTTCCCGTGCAAATTTTCAAAGGAAAACATAGGAAAGGCCTGCTGTCACATAAAAAGTAGTTTGGACGTTCATAGAAATCTATATAAGGAAACAAGTGTAAGCGAAGCCAAGGAAAACTTCGATTAAGAAATGAACCCACAGTTTTTTGAAGAATTTTTCGAATCGCACAATTTGTTACCTTCTCAAATGGCACCTGTCCTCATCTTCAGCAAACGGCCTACGGTCGTTGAATTTTATTTATATCTTTTTGTTTTTTACTCATTAAAATTGTCTCGCTTAGCATATGTATGTTTCTTTGGCCGAAATTCAAGTCAAAGAAGAGGAGGAAGCAATGAACAGACCCTTTACAAAGGTTTGTGGGATTTCACGTGTCTAGTAACCATTAAATGATTTCCAGCGCACTTTTGGTTTGTTTTCCACGTCTTTCACCTGTTACTTGTTCTCGCGCTCGGTGGCAGGAGCCTGTTTTCCCGCGTTTTTCACCTGTCACTTGTTATCGCGCCCAGTGGCGGGGGCATGTTTTCCCGCACTTTTCATCTGTTACATGTTTCCCTGCACTTTTCACTTGTTTCAAGTTTCTACCCTTAAGTGAAAGTGCATGGCTTCTCGCGCTTTCACCTGTTGTATATTTTCCGCGCTTCACACAAGGTGCAAATTTCGTCGTTCTTAATTATTTGATTCTTAAAGCTTACACGAACCGTATTGGGGAAATTTCATGCGTAACGTTTGATGTCTTAACGTGGCCTCAGGCGTAGAAGGAAAATTCAGGTTTTCCGCCGAATTCACTGAAAGGAGTGGAGCAAATATAAAAAGTACACAACCTCAACATTGCATTAAAAGTTACAAAGCATTCGAAACAGAATGAAGGGAACCATTTCACTCTCCAACCGGAATTTCTTGTCTTTCGGCTGGGAAAAAATGAGGCGTCTCGAATCCGTATTTTCCCGCGCTTTTCACCTGAGGTGTGGTTTCGCTCGCTTTGCATTCACGTTTTAGCAACGAATGCATTCATGGGTCTATTATTTTAAGGTGGGTGGTCCTTGGTTGGACAGGACAGCATTTCCGTCTACAAAGCAATGTTTTTGTAACCGTCGTGGCACGAGATAGGCGCGCCATTTTTTCAGTAGGCAGCTTCCAAGACTGATTATACGGGTTGTTCCAAAATTATTAATTGTTTCACCTGGTCAATGGATTTGGAATTTTTATAGGGAAAATTAAACGTCCCTTCAAACCGGGTGGAACAACTGTACGAAGCTATGCTTCCAAATTTACCGCAGTATGTGGTAAGTAGAGAAATTTCTTACATCTCTTTTGCCTTATTTGCACACTCGCATGGTCACTCACCTACAGCCCGAAACGGTGTTTTGCTTTAACAATTGGATTCGTGTTAGAGTACTACACAGTAGCTTTCATTTGAAGTGACAGATATTAAGGTCTCACCCACAGACTAGAAACTTAAGTCTACCACAGTAAATGGTTTGAACCTAGGAGTGGTCGTGTTGTCTGATCGTCTCGGTGAGAGAAGTTCTAGAAAGGAATGTTGCCGAGAACCTTAGGGGTTGAATGACTAGACTCTGATGATGTTTTTACGAAGGTTTCCGAAACGTCAGTCACTACTACTGACAACAGTCTCCTTTAGGGGCTTTTCTCCCCCGGACGATCAGACTGAACGATCAAATTTAGACGCTAGTATAAACAACAGTCCTTCTCAGAAGTTCTCTCGCCTGGGCGATCAGACAACACGTTCAAATTTTTAGACGCTACTACAAACAAAAGCCCTTCTCAGGACTACTCTGACGCAGACGATTAAAATACATTAGTATATACTAAAACAGTGGATAGCGTTGAGGGCGCGCTATGATTGGCTAGTCAAACTCCGAATATCCTTTGCTATTTACCGTCGAGCAATTCGGGAAAAAATGGCGTCACCGTTTGCGTCCTTGACAAGCGAAGAAATCACTTAAATTAACGACGGTGGTGTACATTATCTCACTGTTTTAGTATATACTAAAACAACTATTCACCTCAGTGTCGGTGGTTAGCGGTGGATTTTTACCTCGCCGCTTCGCGGCTCTGTAAATATCCACCACTAACCACCTCCACTTCGGTGAGTAATTGTTCACTATCAGCTTCTACTATTGACAATAGTCCTTTCTGAACCCCTCTTATCCGAAGGACCAGGCCACCTGATCAAGTTTGTAAACGTGCCGCTTAACATTTTTCACCGCTGTACAAATTTGAAATCAAGCAGTTCACTTTGGGCCAACATTTCGGTTTTTCTCACTTTTCAGATTGCCATATTGAAGATCCTTCTCGCCGCTGCACCAACAGCAAAACCCAAAACTGAATCGATTAACATCTTGGCCGATGTCTTTCCACAGGATATGCCGTGAGTGCTACACATTCTTGTTCTTTCTTTTTAACAAGATACTTTTTGATTTATGAGAACATCGTTTAAAAGAGCTGAACGCCGAAAAAAATAATTGAAAATGCAATTGCAAACTACCCATGTATCTTTCCTAAGGGCTCATTCAGACGCCGTGCGTCTGTTTTAGTTGTTTCTTTTTGGTTGTTTTGTTTGTTTATTTGTTGGTTGAGCTTGCTTGTTTTTGTTTTTTATATGTGCCAASAGGGGCGTAGCCAGGATTTTTCAAAGGGGGGGTCACAGAGGCTACTCACCATTTATACCGCTGCTCTCCTGCGTGTATCAGCGGGCTCAGTCGTATTATCGCGGCATGAAGGCCCATATCAATGGCTTTTACGGCCAAGATGTCGTCATGGCGTTTTCGCCACCTGAATATTGTAGGTTGTTTTCTCTAAAGAAGACCTTCCAAGGGGGGATCACGGGCACCCCAGGACCCCCCTGGCTACGCCCTTGGCCAAGTGTCCTCAGAAATTGATTCCGTAATTTTTTTTGTTTTACCAGCTCAACAGTTCTTCTCTCCATGAGACTTGGAATTGATGTTAACCGACACAAGGTAAGAATTACACAAACATTTGCTTGAGGATCTCTTTCTTCTGTGGGTTCAATTTTGTGTTCTGTTTCATCGTAGGAGATCATAGTGAAGGCGATATCTGCAATTCTCTTCCTTTTGCTTAAACATTACAAGTTGAATCATGTTTATCAGGTAATATAGAAATTAATTTGTTTAGGGAGTTTTTAATGATTCGTAATTCTTTCCTTTTACAGTAGCTGCCATGAATTTCCTCTTGGGCCTAAATTGCTTGATTTTTCTGTTTTGTTTTTCCTTTTTACTAGTTTGAGTACATGAGCCAACATCTCGTCTTCGCCAACTGTATTCCTCTCATTTTGAAGTATCTGAATCAAAACATTTCCGCTTTCGTTGCCGCCAAGAACACGTGAGTAGAGTGACTGTTTTCTTGATTGAACATATCAATCGTCCCTTTTACAGTTGTGGGCTTGGTGGCCAAGCCTTTGAACAGGAGTGAGGATAAGGGTGACCTTGTTGTGATACAGATGTTGCTGCTTTTCAAATGCAAATTTCTTTGTTATCATGCTAACCAGATACAGGTCTCTATCACAACAGGCTCACCCTAAGCCTCACTTCTGTTCAAAGGCTTGGCGACCAAGCCCCCAACTGTAAAAGGGACTCTTCTGACCATTGACTGCGGGTTATCTCTTAAGACCAGTTTTGAGAATCTGATGATTAATCTTGGAATCAAGACAGTACAAAGAAACTACCAGTTAGCTTTCACAAAAATGCATTTAACCTTTGATTTTTTCTATGTTGAAGGGAATAAATTTGTTACAATGATTCGATTTAGTTCTTTTCGCTCCTGACCGTCTTTCTGATTCACCAATCGAGAGTGGTTAAGCGTGGTCTGTTCTCTTATCGACAATGATATAAGGCATCACAGTAGCAAAAAATGTTATTGGATTCACTCGGATGCACCTCATGAGTTTGATTAACGCCTTGACTTGGTTTGTATTTTCTTTACAGTATACCTCAACTTGACTTCCCAGCGTGCATCTTGGGTGACCCTTTGGAACTCACCGCCGAAAGTCTGGTAAGTACTGACTAAGAGGTACCCGGACGTGAACGTTTTCCTCACTCGGTAATTTTATGTTGTTCATGCAGGGCTTTCATTGAGCAAGATAGTAGTATGAAATAATAGGAAAATGTGTTTTGCGTTTAATTAAAAAAATTAACCCAGGCCATCAAAATTTGGCCAAAGAATTTTCCCATTTCTGATTACCCTCTGTAACTGACGGTCTTTTTTGGGCAAAGCTTGGCAGACGGGTGGGAAAGCTTCGTAAGGCTTGGGACAGCTTAGGGGGGAGGGGGGATCCCCGATACTCATTAAACACCTTGCCGTTACGGTTTTTTTTTCAGTTTTACTATGCTGTACGATTTTCCTTTTCCATAGGAAAACGCTGATCAGGAAGCATGCTGTTGGAGAAATCTGTTCTCTTGCATCAACCTGGTGCGCATTCTACAGAAACTCACCAAATGGAAACACTCGCGCACAATGGTAAATTAATTATTTTTTTCTGTGTCGTTTTTCTGTTGCATTTGTCGTTCGTTGGTCCAGTTTCTTTTGTCTCTTAGCCTTTGGAAAATTATGGTGTGAAGTGTAAAGAATAGCCCTTTTTCGTACTTTTGATTGTCACTAAATGCAACTTTAAAAAAATACCAAGCTAGTCTCGACGTATAGTCAAATATTCCCCAAAACAGGCAGGAAATGTTGCCTCAAATTGAAAGTTAATTTCGGCTTGAGTTCTTCAATTGAAGAACCGGTTAATTTTAATTTTTCTTCGATCTTGAAATTCAGCGGCGCTCTTTTTTGATCCTCATCATAGAAGTTAATGAGAAATAAGAACTTCCTCGTAGCTATCTGAAGAAGACTTGTCAAAGGCGCGTAACCTGCGCCAAGCGCGGGAAAATACGTGACACCTAGTCGTGATTGGTTCCCTCCTGCCTCCATCTGGTCGGTTGACTTCACTGGTAGGAGTGTAAAGGCAATAGAGACTTAGAAGTGACGTAACCCAAAACTGACCTAGTAAACTGGTCGCATTGTTAACGCGAGTCTTGTCTTTCAGATGCTTGTTGTGTTCAAGTCCGCTCCCATATTGAAGCGTGTGTTGAAGGTGAAACACGAACTCCTTCAGTTGTATGTTCTCAAGGTAAGTTTGGTTCATAGTATTATTCTTTTCAACGAAAACCATGCAACTGGCATTTGAAACTTGTCAAGAACTGTATAATTTTATCAAATATTGCAGCACGTACTTCTTTGACTGGGAAAACACTTCGTTAGGAAGCATTAAAGAGAGACATGGGGAAGCAGTGTCAGATTCACAAGGAACCCTTCTTCTCCCTCCCCCTCACCCGAACCCTTCCGCGCACCCACCCCCCCCCTTTCCATCAGAGCTATGGGTATACAATTAGTTGCCTTGACACCGAAATTCTTTCAACGACAAGATCGCATGTTACCACTCAATTTCTCAAACTCATTAATAACTCATCAAGTTACAAACCAATCACGATACGCCAATTTGGCCACATGTGTGCGTTTAGAAACCCCGATGAAACACTGGACAGATAGTTTTCCACTATACTTTGATGAAATATCAAACCCTAGAGCTTGATAAAATGTCAAACCCCACTGATGCCAAAATCAGTCAGAATTTTTTCATTGTCCTTGGCTAATGATGCACGATTGAGAAGCAATTTCAAAAACTCGTGCTTCGTGTTTCATCGGGGTTTTCAAACACGAGAAAACTGATGGAAGCACGAGGCCGTAGGCCGTAGGCCGAGTGCTTTTATCAGTTTTCTCATGTTTGAAAACCCCAATGTAACACTAAGCACGAGTTTTTGAAATATTACATTAAGTATTTATAATTTTGTTTGTCTTGAAGTGGACCTCCCCTTATTTACGCTCTCGTCTAACAGACACTTCTATGCTTTTTTTTCTTATTTTGGAAAAAAAAAATTGGACTTAACTTCCCCATGAAT